GCTGTCTTACCGCAGGACGCTTATGCACAGTTCCTGGGCGAGTCATCGCTTGGCCTTTGCCAAAAATCTGTGATAAATGTGTCGCTGTGTAGACTTCTGGCTGTGGCGGATACCAAAATTTGTTGGCCAGCCGTTCTGATAACATCAAGTCAAAATGACGGTACCTGTTGCCTTGACATGTTGCTTGCCACATTTGCAACAAGCCGTTTCTGCGGAAAAAAATCGCTTGGGAACCTTCCAAGGCAAACTTCATGTTATAGAACCAATCCAGTTTGGTGCCCTCTTTCCATTGCCGACGCCAGCCGGGCCATCCAACGTCTATTCCACGAGGCAAAGCTGTCATGAGGTGTTCAATTTCTCTTGCTGTCTTCTGGAACCTGGCGTCAGCTTCAAGGAACCAGACATATCCAATATCTGCGCAACGTTGATCGGACCGATAGCGGCGCAGCAATTCTGAGCACCTGCAAAACCGGTCTGTGATTTGAAGCGCTTATCCTTACACCAAAAACTATGTTTGTTTATTGCAGTTTCACAGCTAGTCTTCAAAGAAAAAAATCTTAAACGAGCAAAATCAAACATACACTCATGCCTCCAGAACCATCGGTGCTGCACTGAGAAATGAACAATCTCATTTGGCTTCAGGTTTCGTCCCATATGTTGGTCAACATTACATCTAAACCCGTAGACGACGTGGACTTTCGTGGCACCGACCTGCTTCAGTTCTTTGAGAAGTGGAGCGTGGACGCCGTGATTTCCAGAATGGGAGAGTATGATGAACAGTGAGTTCTTGATGCAAGCTGGTGATTGCGGTAGCACCAAAGCTTGTTCTTGTATATGCCGAGATCTGCAGCGCTCCAGTGTTTTTCTCTTTGACTCCGAGGTGGTATACCACCAAGAATTCCCGCATGTGCAGCAACACCACGGCATGATCAAAAAAATGCGGTGAAACCGATCACTGGAAGATTCTCGTCTATGTCATGACTACAGCATTAAATCATATTCGCTTCGAAGGCTTCGAACCGTTTGCTGTGTATAGCTGGACTACAGTGTAATAGTAGGTCCTTAGTAGGTGTTGTAGTGATGGAATACGGTAGTATCTGTGTGTATGAAATTTGCAACTGAATCGGATTTGGTTATGCTTGTTTAAGACATTTCCAGTCATTTGAGTCTTTGTCGTTATTGTCGGGATCTTTGCCAACATCGTTACAACTTGAACCGCGAACTACATCCGATGGCTTAGACCTTCAGACTCAAGGCTTTATTTAGGGTTTCAGACTCAAGGCTTTATGGGTTTAAACATGTACTGAACCTACATTGAAAGTATTCACTTTGTCGGCACACTCCCAAGCGTTCTTCGAACCTTTACCTAAAGAAACCGACAGCCTGGACATTCCTGTTGCTTTAGAGCTCCACATGTAATACGCTTACACGGCGTGCGATCACAGGGTGTGGAGTTTGTTCGGGTTGGGGGAACTACGACGGTTAGCTTAGAGTTTGCAGTTCAATCTTGTATTACTTGGTCAGACTTCTACATTAGTCATCGCAGCGTGCGAACGTTCGTTCTGCACCAAAAGATATTGTAAGTCAAATAAGCCTTATAGACCCTAAACATTCCTAAACCCTGCACATCAAAATCCGAAAACCGCTTTATAACCCTTAACCGAAAAACACTAAATACCCTAAGAATTTGACTCGAATATTCGAGTTCAGCGAAAATACAACTATAGAATTAAACTATTGAAACCTGAGTTTAACCTGTAACCGGAAGAACCGCAGTTGCGATGTTGCTGACGAAGTAGAACAAGCAACCTTGGCTGGATCGAGCTTCGCATCCCTTCATTGAACACAGCAATTATAGAGAGTTCAGGAAGTACTTCGTCTCAATCGACCGCGCCACAAAACGCCAACTCTGGGAACTCAACAGCACATAGCGGAACAAATCGTGCGTGTACATTTCTGCTAGTATGAGCAGGAACCGCAGGGAAACATACAAGGAACAAATCGTACATATACAGTTCTGCTGGTATGAGCAAAAACCTATATACAGTTCTGCTGGTATGAGCAAAAACCTAACGACACATGCAAGGAACAAATCGTACATACACAGCGGTCCGGATACTGACGTCCAACTGGAAACAAACATAACGGAACAAATCGTACATATACTAATCCGCCATCCCTTCATTGAACATAGCATTTATAGAGAGTTCAGGAAGTACTTCGTCTCAATCGACCGCGCCACAAAACGACAACTCTGAGAACTCAACAGCACATAGCGGAACAAATCGTGCGTGTACATTTCTGCTAGTATGAGCAGGAACCGCAGGGAAACATACAAGGAACAAATCGTACATATACAGTTCTGCTGGTATGAGCAAAAACCTAACGACACATGCAAGGAACAAATCGTACATACACAGCGGTCCGGATACTGACGTCCAACTGGAAACAAACATAACGGAACAAATCGTACATATACTACTCTGCCAGTAACATAAGGGAACAAATCCTTCATGTACCGTGGTTCCAGAGACGACCGAGCTTGCGCTGGAAATCATCATTGGTCCCAGCGATAGACAGGACTAAACAAAACACATATCTGATATTTCATGGCACAGCACTCAAATCCCCCAGAGTACTGCGTTCGTGACGGGGCTGTACAGTTGTCACTTGTCGGTGTTCGTAAAAGAACGGTGGAAGTCTTCGTCACTGCATTTCGAAGACATCTACTCCTACAGCTTGCATCTAGCCAACACACCGCACAGTTCGTGCGCGTTGCTTTAACACATGCAGGCCTGCGGCAAGCATGAAGTTACATCTCACGATATTGCCGCAGATACGACGGACATAATCGTAAAGTCTCTTTTGGTTGCGAGCCGTGTCCTCCAACCGACATTGCAGTGAAGAAAGATTACAGGCATCGCGATCATCATCATCTTCAACGACCCACAAAGGACGCAGAACTGCCAACTGTACAGGCATAGCCGCGTACTGATGCACATACACATTCGTATCAACAAGGTGGCCAAGAATCTCAGTCAGCAAACACGCTGGCAATGCCATGTACGGAACAGTCAGCCACAGTGCAAGCTTAAGCTCTTCTGATTCGTTCTCTGCCCATTCCTGCTCTAATATTCGAAGCCAACCAAACACTTCCTCTCGGCTCTGCTGCGCTCTGCGCAGAAGTGGTGCGAACAGTCGTCTCTCCCGTGTGCTGATAACTGCTGGCGTCTGGTTCCAAGCCGACTGGAACATGTCAAGATTGAGAACCTCTGGCACATATAGCATGGTGACCGGATGCACGGGATGTGGGTTCATGGCGATGCAAGCTAAGCCAAGCCACTACTCCGATCTCAATGCGTTGCAAATGCTGCATGGCGGCTGTGATTTGGTACACACATGCAAGGCACACATCAGAGAAAAATCAGCAGGCTTCGGACATGTTCTCCTTCACAAATGGAGAAGATGCATTCGTAGCTACAGTCACGACGCAGATTTACAGGAAGGATCGCGACACGACACACACAACCCAAACGCTGCGGGCCCATAGCCTGCACAGCAAATGTAAAAGCAGCCCCAAAAACGAGTCACTGTACAAACTCTCGCAGAGCTGGTAGGTAGCACAGGCAAGCCAGCTGCATTTAGCTATGCCTGCGCATACACCTGTACATTGCCTGTACATGTCTTTCAGCAGAACATGGTGGAGTAGTGCGCAGCCACTACGGAGCTGGCGGCTTTGAACTTGTCTACTTCGGCGTTCCAATGGTGAAACTGGAATTCGCGGACTCTGCTTTCAATCGTGGCCTCATCGGCTTTGGTACTTTTGGGTAAGCCGACAAGCTTCAGTTGCCGCCACACATTATCTATGAGTTGCGTACCCTTTTGAACCCACATGACATCCGTCTCGCTTTGCTTCAAGCTTCCAGAGTGTGCTTTTGCCTGGTCGCGAGGTAGCCGATGCTTCCATAAGGCTGCGTATACCGGTCTAGGCTTCTTATGCTTGACAGCATCTGTCACCACACCTGGAATCTTGACATACCGATAAGCTCTGGCACCATCAGAGTGCAACAAGATTTTGCGATTCTTCAAGTAGCGAGATCCAATACGTTTCCATTCCTCCTTCGAGATCGGGCCTGCTGGGCCCGTGGATCCCTTGCCTGATCCTGTCCTCTTGACGGATGTGGTTCGAATCTTCATCTTCACAAGGACTAAGCTTCTGCGATTTCCTCTTTCCAGAAGCCCAAGATATTGGTGCCATGCTACCCTGTTGCCACAGCGCTTCCCTCGTAAAGTCACCTCATCGACTTCACACTCTACCCAGCGCTGCAGATTTCCGAAAGGCTTACTGTCTTGCTGCTGCTCAACGAACCGAACCAAAGCCTGCCGCCACCGCTGCGACAATGACTGAACTGCCTTCGCACCGAGCCCTGTGAGAATGTGGACTTGGCCGGATCCCAGTCTTGCAGCGTTGCAGAACAATACTTGCACTTGCTGTCGCAATGGTATGTGGGCCTGTCCCCAAGCACACGTAAAAAACGGGTGCTGGGAATGTGGTAAGATGAACTTACGACACTTCCATCCCTTGCACCGCTGCACCCACCCTCGAGAGCTATGAGAGAAAAGTGTGCAAACTTTACCAGTCTTGCAGTGGGGGCATCGCACGAACTTCCACAGGATTCCAATAGAAATCAGATATGTGATAAGCTTCTTTTCCGACCACTGCACCAGGTCGGCGAAAGAAACACACCACTTTTGATGTCGCAGCTCTGCTTTGGTCATGTCGTCCAGCTGCTGTTCCACGGGGATGTAAGGCACGTCTTGACGCTTTGGCTTCTTTGTTGCCCTTGCTGGCTTGCGAAGTACCAGTCGTAAGGTTCCACGTTTCGGATTCGGGGATGAATGCACGCTGGGCTTCTTCATTGCGCTAGAGCGAGCTACCTTTGTACAATACAGCAAGGAATTGACTGCAATGCAGCAGGTCCAGCAACTACTACTTCTACAACGGTTTTTGCTGCGGATTCGAATATGAATGCCTAGCGCACACTACCTTTGCGACATGGCAAGACAAACAACTGCTCCATGCAACTTAGCAGACGTTGTAACACGTTTTCTGACCTGATGAGAACGTCAGAAGATTGGCGAGCAATATCGCGCAAATGGGCAGACCCCTGCACCTGGTCATACCCGTAAGTAGCCCCAAAAACGAGAAACTGTACAAACTCTCGCAGGGCTGACGCTGGCAAAGAAGCATCAAGCGGGCAAGATTCTGCATTCAGCCATGTGTCGCTTGTGCTTTTCATTCCTGCCATCCGATTTAACTAATATGAACCGCGAAAGCAAAGAGTCACTGTACAAGGCTCTCCACACAGGATGACCAACATCAAGCATCAAACAGACTACCTTCAGAAGAAGGGAAAGCAATGCGACTCATCAATCAGGCAGACCACTGCATCCGGCCATACCCCCATGCCGCTTGCTGTACCCAGAGGATCCTTCCTTCGCCATTACCTTTTCTTGCCTTTGCGTTTGTCGCAGTTGTTTTGCCAGAAAGCCTGAAGAGCAGAGCTGGAGATTTTTGCACGATCCAATAGGGCAATGTCGAATTCGTCGTTGTTGTCATTGGGAAACGCCAGTGTGAGGCAGTCCTTACTTTCATCATAGCTCCCCAGCGTTGTTGGCACTGCTCTGGCCAAGGATCGGAAATCACTCACTGCGAGCGGCTTCACAAGCTTATCTTTTTGTCGGGCGACGTTGTAGATTGCTCTGCTCTTGACGATGTAAGGACCAGTGTCCGAATCCTTTTCAGCCTTCATGAGCAAGCGACGCAAAAGCTCGGTGTCAAGGATACCACTATGCTGAGCTTGTGGGTCCCACGATCGGTCTGGACTTGACTGTTGCAGTTGCGCTGACAGATGATCTTCATCTGACTGCTTCCTTTTGCGAGTAGCCTCCGCAGCAGCTGCCACCGATGTAAAAGCCGTCGTGCCAGAATGTCCGGACATAATGGCAACAATACTCTCTAAAATCTCAAGCAAGCCAAAAGCACGCGATACAACATTTACAGTCACCAGTACTGGCTGTGTCTGGTCGGCGACAGGTGCTTCAGACTGTTGCCATGCGATGTCCCACAACGCCAAGCTTGCACTGAGCATTCCAAGTTTCCATGGACAGCAGCCCAGTTGGGCGGCTTGTCCGATATCTTCGTCTTGCCGGGCCTGTGCCACCAGAATATTGAAGTAGGCGCTGTAGGACTGAAAGGCTAGATTCGCGTCGTCCGTGAATCGAAGCTCGCGGTGGTCTAGCTCGAAAGCATCTGCTAAGCGGTTGGCAGCTGCTTCAAGGTTATACTCCTCCGGAATGTCAATATCCCGCACTGCCATGCTCCATTCTGCAACAATGTCATCGTCATTTCGCCTGCGAAACCGGATGCGTGTTGCCACCCCATCCGGCAACACATATTTCCATCCATCAGTATCGGGGAAGTAGCCATCTTCCGAAAACTCGATACCAATGCTATCTGAAGGATCATTGCCTGCAGGAAGAAAGAATTTCTGAGCTTCTTCAGGCGATGAGAGACATTTCAAGTTCAGCAGATCCCTCAAAACATCAGGTATTGGACAGAACATAACCTGCGCCCGGACACCACATGACTCGTACTCTGCGTGAGGCTGCACAGGAGCACCGCTCGTAAAGAACATACGCGCCTTGGTCATGCAACCGTGGTCTCCGCGGAGACCACGGAGCATTTCCACGCACACCCCCGGATGGAAGTTTCCGGATACAGCTGTGCAAACGCTAGGCGAGTCGATGCCTCCAAAAGACCCGTTCGTCTTCGTCTCATGCGACGATGTGCCTGTCTGCATGAGCCTGTTCGCCCATGACGAGTTCGGCGTTTGCCCAGAGGTGTCCGGGCCACCTGAAGACTTTTTGGACATGCTATTATCCAACACTCCCAAATCCATCAAGAAGTCGTAGATCTCGTCAAACAGAAGAAGCGAACTGAACCAAGTTCTTCCGGATAGCCCGCTACGTGCAGCAACTTCTCGCAGTGATGCTGACAGGTTCGACTCCGTTACCGGTGGCAAATCTTTGAAGGGTTTGACCGATTGGCAGAAGTTGAAGTCTCCGGCACATCGTTCTTTGCAGCGGTCAATGGTACCTCCTAGGTACGCGATGCTCCACAGAGACAAAGGAACACTGGGAGGCGAAACTGCAGCTGGAACATCTTCATGCATCGGTGGCACGCTGCAAACAGCCTGTTCATCTTCCTGCACTGTTCGGACAGCAGGCTCGACTTTGGCAGGGTTCGTTGCAATAGCTTGTTTGAGCCGGTGAATATGTCTGAAAGCTTTGCGCACTCGCTTGTCAGCCACTTTAGCGAATACTTCGACAATTCCAGCCAGTCCACTCTTGCGAGTTGGCGTGTAATTGCAGTTTATCACCCATAGCACAATAGGTGCCAGGCTCCCCCACATCCGCAGACGAGCGCCGTTGCAACACACAACACAGCCGGCCAACGCAACCATAAATATGGGAAATGCCGGGTGCGATTTGCGGACTGATTGCAAGTGCACTGCAGCATAGCCTCTCTCCCCTGCAATGGTGCGGCCGCATTCGCTCCACTGCTTCTTAACATACTCGAAAACCTCTGACATTGTCGAAACATACTGCTTCGGAGGGTTGCCGCGGTCGGCCATGATGGTGGTGTCTGTCGACAGAGCGTCTTCCTAAACTGTCTGTTCACTGAACTCTCTCCCTATACAAGTGAAAGCTGCTGAGCGAACACTTTTTTGCAGCACCACAGCTACTTACTCGTTTCTCCTTCAGCGGACACTAGCCATCAGAACTCATCCTGTCTCAGTTTGAAGCTCGCTCCGGTTGCAAGGAATATCAGCATGTCCATATCTCGCGCTCTAGAACAAAAGACAGGCAACATCTTGCAGTCCGAGCAGCAACTAAGTCAGTAGAAAACGTAAAACAAACCCTAACACCTGAACCCTGAACCATCTGTAGCGCGATTGCGCTTCTGCAGGTGGCGTACCTGCGGCCGCAACGGTCTGAATTCCGTAAATAGCTACTAGAAGCCAAGGGTAAGTTCCAGTAGCTTACATCTACCTGATCGATCAGGCCCTCCTGGATCAAATATTATATCTGTGCCACAACACCTAGATATATGACATCAACAGTGTTCTCGAAAAACATCCGGAACATATCGTACATACACTTTGGCGTGAACACTGTCCCCCAAAACCTCGGAGCAAATCGTACACAGGCATTGTCATGAAAGTAGGCCCCACAAAACCTCCGGAACAAATCGT